ATATATATATATATATATATATATATATATATATATATATATATTACTACATAAAGTTGTACATACACACACACACACACACATATTACTACATAAAGTTACCACATTGAGAAAAAGATACTTGAAAATTTATCTGTGGGATATAAAATTTACTTCTGTAAACTAAAGTCTATTTCTATGGCATAAAGTTTATTTCTGCGAAATAAATTTTTTCTAGTATTCTTTTTCTCAGCGTATATATAATTATATATATGCCATATATACGAAATTTGGTTTTTTTTTCCTTTTATTGTAAATATTTATTATTGTTTCTTTTTTCCTTTGTGGATCATCTTCTTGTGGATTAATTAGTTAATTAATTAATTTCACCTTTAAGAATCAAGAAAACATTTACAGGTTATCGTTCTTGTCTCGATGTGAAATATATATTATAATATTATAATATTATATATATTATCATATTATAATATTATAGCAGAATATTATACACAAGAGAGATTAGGTTAATAAAATCATAAACTCTGAAATCAGGAAGTTCAAAAGTTGGTCAGTTCCGGTGAGAAAGCTGATAAGGTTTCTCCCGTGAGACACCACGTCCAAACTGAACTGGCGCGAAGTGCAGGGAACATTACTTTCTTCTCTCATGTATTTCTGAATCCGAGGCGTAAGAATGCATTTAGAATGCGTGCGTACCAGCCGGGATTTCGCCCGTCGCCCGCGCAGCGCGGCGGGAATTAAAGGACAGGAGGGAGTGATACGTACCGTCGGCACGAGTCGACACGTGGCGGTAGCGCCTTATACAAACAGCATTATGCACGCTCGCGCTAACATAAATTACTGCGGGTTTAATATTGGACGTCGGCGCTGGCCGTGGCCGACCACCTCCTGAGCAAAACACGTTAAATGCGGGGAGAGCTCGGCGCATTCGACCGCGATTCGCAATTCCTCGGACCGCTCTTCCTCCCTCTTTCTCTCTCTTGCCCGATCCCAGCAAAAATTCCACGACATGGTAACGACACCATTGCGAATTACGCGAAGCACAATGCGCGACGCGTGTTAAATTAACAAACGAAAATTCCACTACTCGAGTGAAGATCGTCGAAAGTTCTTCGATGCTTACGAGAAATAGGTAGGTAGATAGAGATAGAGATAGAGAGAGAAAGAGAGAGAGGAGGAGGAGGAAGAGACGTTTGATTTACGCGTATTTCCCTTCGTTTCTATAAGCAAATGTATAGAAATCGTGGGGAAACATTTCGCAATGTCAAACCCGTCCCGAGAGCGACACTCGGAAATTCACGTTGAAATGGGTTCGAGTTCAGTGTTGGGCCGTACGATACACACACACATACACACACACACACACATATATATATATATATATATATATATACATATACTTCTCTGCGACGTTCCTCCGTTACAATTGAAACCACTACGGACCGCTCCATAGTTACCAGAATCGGCTACTGTTTGCATCCCCGCCCGATACTCGCGATGAAACTCATCTCGGCCGGATACGGCATCAACTAGCCGGCCGAATTCGAGCAAGCGGACCGGCTCGCGCGCACGAACGGTATTATTCGTGGCGAGAGTCTCGGCCGAATTTCACAATAAACTCTTTGACGAAGCGTCCGTGAACGATTCGAGGGAGCTTTGGCCGCTGCCCTTTCAGAGGACGACCAAGCACCAAGTGGCAGTCTCGCAAAGGCGAGAACGGGCGGAAGGAACGATAAGTGGACACCCCGTGGAGAGTGATGCGATGCAGGCCGTTCGCATGAATTAAGGCCGGCTTCTCGTTTACGTAGGAGGATCTCGGGATCCACGCAAGCCGCGCCATGCCGCGAGTCGACTCGAGTGTTGCCCTTCGGCCAGCTGTGGAGCGAAGTCGCGTCTTAATCTCAGAGGAGCAAACCGGATGCGACCTCTCGAGTACACCGTGGCCGTACGGATTGGCATTGTTTGCGATGGATTTACGGGAAGTTGGAGAGTCACAGTAACAATCGCTCTCTCGTACAAATAAAATCACGGTGAATGCCTTGGTCTGGGCTCATCGGTATGCCGTTGCTCCGACGACCCTATAAAGTCAAACCAATTAGAAGCAATTGTCAAATCAATACAGAGTGAACCATTATTGGCATTCTTTTTAATCATTGGCACACTAGAAAAACCTGGTTTCCCCTGCGATCAGCGGCATCTGTTTACAGTTTCAATTGTGAAGCTCTTTTTTGGGATCATAAAGCGCCTGCAAGAAACTTAATTGCAATGCTAGTCGCATGAAAAACATGTCTAAGGTATCGTACGCAAGAATAAATTGGGAAATTCGTAATAAAAATTAAAATACATTGAGTGAATTTTACAATAAGAATTACTATTTTATTTTTACTAGGATTTTGTAGTCGAGAAATAGATTGACACTCTGCAGTAACTGATTTCATCTTATATGTGTTATTTATATTTTAGAAATTAAATAAAATAACCTTCATTTTTTAGAAAAGAACCTTCATTTAGAATTGTCCTGCATTCAAAACTACTCTTATCTCACATATGTACCGATGATACGCTCTGGGCATTTGATTCTTTGTTTTTAAGTTAAAAGTTATAAAGGTTCAAACTATCAAAATATCCACTCGAATAAAGTTACAATTTGAGTAGAAACTTTAAAGCACTTCCAGTTTGATCGCTTAAGCATTATTTTGAGCGCTCAAGTTTTTCATAACTAAAGCAGTTATCATGAAACATGAATACATCATGAAACGGATTTCCTGCGTTTGATAAAACTTGCACGACATTTTAAAATTTTAATTTAAAAACAGGGCTAAATTTCAATTGTTCAATTGTCGGTTGAAAGATCTTTGATTCTCTTCGCTCGTATCAATCGTCTATTAAACGATCTTTAATTAAATTCGTTGAAGTGAATCGTGAATTAAACATTCTTCTATTGATTTTGCTCGAATCAGTTGTCAATTAGTTGAATTGAAACATATTTGTTCAATCAATTGTTAAATTAAGAAAAATTTAACAGATATTTTTATAACTCTGCGTATGAATAACCGATAATTCTAGATTGCACCGCACACTTCACATATTATGATCGAAGCGTGACTGACTCGATTGTGACGAACGACTTTCAACTGCGCTCTTAATTCGTGACGACTTTAAGGTTATGGAAAATTGTCTCGTATACTTATGCTTACCGTCCCGTATATTACTATGCTTTATGTTTTCAAGCGATATCGGTAGGTCGCGTTAAGATGGCGCAGGCATTCTACGTTCGAAATCCTTATCCTGTGCCGGATGTCTCCCGGGAAGGAGCGTGGGTACCGCGCGGGCCCGTGTTGGGAGATAAAGTCTCGCCGTCGGATAGAGACTGGAACAGCAAGTTGAGCGCCCACGAGCGTCTCTTCGCTCATCACACCCTGAACAGCATCCGAAGGGACCACCGACTCGTCAGGCGGAAGGTATGCTGCACGGCGTTCAGCGCCGGCGAAATCCGAGATATTCTGTAACTTTCGCTGGATACAACACGCGACTGCTTCCGCAGGTGCCGGACGACGCCCTCGATTTCGCACTGGACGCCGTGTACGTACACAGCCGAGACACTCTGGTGCCGAAGATGTACGTGGCTATGCAGCCGGAGACGCTCGGGAAAGAAACATGGCGCGTGTTGCGAAACGAGATCAAGGTACGTCAAGTCGCAGCGAGTGCGGAACGTGGAAGCTCTGTGTGAAGCTCCGCAAATCGATCGATTTGATATGGTAATTTTTAGATCTCGCCGAAACCACCTAAACCGGACAGACCAATGCATGTGAGCGGCTATCAGGATGAGGACCTTAAATCGCTAGTGCGGGAACCTTTTTCGGCGGATAAAACGAGGTGTTACAGCGGGCCAACTTTGCCGCGGAGAATTCATCCGAGCAGCGTGAAATTAAATATCGAGGGTCCTCATATGGACCAATCGAATCCCGGATACAGTCGCAAAATCGACGGAACTTTTTACAGTATTTAAACACGGATTTGGGCGGTGTTTGAGCGGCACGCTTGGAGAACGTTCGGATTAAGCTGAAACCTGCAATTCGCCGAATGAAGCCCCCGCTTTTGCAAATACCATTATCGCTATTGGCATAATCTGCCGAGATTTGCGCTTTGAAATTCGTCGGGAAACGCGCGGATCGGCGAATCACGCCGCGTCGAACGCAACGGAAACGCGAAATTGATCGTATTACAAGAGCGCCGTGAATCAACGCGATGACGAAGACTCGCGCGCGCGAGCAAGTGTATGATTGAATAGCAGCAATTGTTAGCGTTATTTCGCGGCGAGCCGATCCGCGATTATCCTATCCGCGCTAATCTGATCATGTCGACAAATTCACTCGGCGGCCTTTCGATGCCTCACGAATTCGCTTTAGCTATCGCCACCGGGGATCTCCCCGTCGCCGTCCGCGCTCTCGCCCCTTTGACAGTCACGACATGGAGAGACAAGCAAGCCGAAGATCGGTGACAGAGCGGGTAGACAGAGCGGCAGAAGAGAGCGTGAGTCAGTGCGCTCAAAGTTCTCATTGCTCGCTCGCTCGCGCGCGCGCTCATTCGGCTCGGCTTGGCTCGGCAGTGAGCCGAAGGGACAGAATGTCCCATTACCCGGGTAATCCTTGTTTGTAATAAACCAGCGCCCCGCTGCCAGCGGGGTGACAGCGCAGCCACCCTCGCCGAGGGCCCGCGGAGGAGGAGCCATCTCCGCACGCATATGCTCCTCATGGAATATCATTTATGCTTCTCACCCCGCGCGAACGTCTATCTTGCGACCCGTTTGACCCGGGCAACCCTCCGAGAGCACCCTCTCTCCGCCACGGAGTAGGCAGCACGATCCTTATACATACGTCTAATCCGGCCATGATTGCTCCGCCGACCGCCTCATCGCGAAAACTCCACCTCGACGGTGAGACGTACGCTACCCTTCTCGTCTGACCCCATTCCATCGGCTTCTTTAGAGCGCTTTTTGACGAACCTCGTAATTTCGCGACGACACCCCGATGAATATTAGCGCGAACGCGCGTGTTCCAGTTGCCGTAGCAAATCGCCGTAACTTTTCACGCAGGTAAAACGTGTACTAACAGAAGACTATATCTAAAACATCAACACATAACAATAACTAATAATATATACAACATATAATATCAACTAATAACACATATTTATTTATACCAATATATAAAATATTTTTCGAGTAAGAAAATGCACATTTCCTTAACCTTAAGAAAATCTTGACTTTTCACGAAACCACAATTGTACTCTACTTGGATAAAAGAATTTTGACTTAAGTAAATATATCAATATGTTAAATACATATTTACTATTTTTCTCTTAGGCATTTTTTTCTCTTAGTGTATCTGAATGTCATAATAACACTAATACATCATTCTAAAAATTTTTCTTATTTTTGTTTTAGTTTTAAATACAAATATTTAAACTTTCAACGTAAAATACATGTAAATATTCAATATATATATATATATATATATATATATATATATATATATATATATATATATATATATATATATATTCTCTATATTGAAAGTTTAAACATTCGTAATTAAAGGCGAAAACAAGTGTCCAGAGTTTAGGTATCAGTGCTATTAGTGTCCAAACATTGGCACTTTTACCTCCTCTACTGCCCATTGTGACTCTGAGGTCACAATCCAGTTTCACCATTATTTATCTCTAATATGAATATTATTCCTGTCTTGATCGATGTGACATGAAAGTTACAGTATGGCTGCCATTTTTTTAATATATTAGTAGCAATAGTAACAGCCCAACATGACCAGTCATAAACTTATCTTGGGAAAATAAAAAATTAGAAAAATAAAATTTCACCTTATATATATGGAGTACTTTAGTTTTAAACATTCTGTATACATGAGAAATCCTTTAAACATTTTAGATTTTAGAGAAATTAATTAGGGCAGTATAGAGTTAGACAATATTTGATTTTGACTATTCGTGATGTCAATCCGTTAATCTCATTAGGGATAAATAACGCAAGACGGTGGATATTTTTGTTTCTTGTTTTTTTCTTTATTACAACTCACGATCGGAATTCTTGCGTTGTTTTATTAATTTATTTTTATTTATATTGTTTTATTAACCAAATTTACTATGATTACATAGAATTGCGTGAGTATCTTGTCTCTCCGCGCTTAATCGTAAATTCAACGACTCCGGAAATAGTAATTTCTTCGCGGATTACGTCACGTCGCGTGTCTATTGACGCGAATCCTTTTTCTTCCCCGAGTATAACAGTAGAGAGAGAATGAGAGAGAGAGAGAAAGAGAGAGAGAAAGACGCCGGGGGTGATATAAGGGTGGAACGATCTCAGGCGGTCGTCAGGCAACGAGCGAGGTTACCAGCCAATTACTTGGCTGAGCGGTTTTATTTGTATTTAATTCTTATTTAATTTACTTTTTACGGCCGTGTAGTTTTGCCGCTACCGTTAACGAAATGGAAGGCTTCCCTTCGTCATTGCAAATTAACGGCGTCGCGGTCCGTGCCGTCGGGTGCAATCAATTTCGGTAAAAAGCATCAATTGCGCGCTCTTTCATTCGACGATGGTATTCGCACTTGATAAACAACACACCTAACTGTACTGAAACGAGCGCGAGTCGACGCTCGCCTCGTAATAAAAGCGAGCAGACGACGAAATGACAACCGGTGCGATCAGGTCGGATCGTTCGACGAGGTAAGGACGCTGTGCGGATTAAATGGCTGCCAGCTATACGCTATCGCACAGATACTTTTCTAATTTTAATTAATCGACACACACGCATATTCGGCGTATTTAAATGTACGTATTTAAACGTAATTTTACTTCAACAATGACAGAGCGACGGTACGACGATGCCGCTATTGTAGAGACCACGTTCGAACTAGCTTCTCTATCTATTCGATTCTTTCACGCGTACGCTTTTCCAGAAGGAAATTCTGCGTGAAAGTCGAAGCAAAGTCGCATTGATCCCTCCGGGATGAAGCTGTTATTCCACTGAACTTGTTACGTTATATTTATCAGCGCGGTGCACACTGGCACCACCCGCCGGGTTTTATCGTTCCTTTCGGACCCAGCGCGTTCTTCCACTATCGTTTCACCTAAATAGACAAGGCCGCAAATGACACGCGGCGTATAATAAGCGGCGGCGCGTTGAGGGAAGCGTGTGTGTCGGGTAATTTCCATTTTAATTTCAACCGCGCTCTTTTGAGGCGAGAGTTATTAAAAGTATGTCTCGCAATTTTTATACAAAATAATTGCGTTGGAATAGTAATTCTTCGAGACATACGCTCGGAAATATTATTACGATAACCTACACAACAGATTTCTCAAACGCGCTCTACGATACTTTTGCGTGAAAATTCTACACTGCGAAACAAGTCTTGTAATAGTTAACAAAGTTGACTATTACATTTGAGTGGTTGAGTGTTTCGGTGCAATATTTGGTAATTAATATCAAATATGGTATAATAGCTATCAATCATCTGATAATAATTACAAAATAAATAGTAAAGTAAATTTAATTTAAGTCGAACTAATCAAATGGTTTGGTAAAATAATAATACCAAAATAAAATAATACCAAATAATTCGATAGTAATTAGTTAATAGTTTGACAATTATCAAAGTATTTGGCCACTTGTATATTCATCATATAATATAGCAAGGCGGTGCTACTAAACAACTGTTTATTAATATAGTTATTTATTAATATTTATTATTTATACTGTTTATTACTGTTTATTAATATAGTTATTTATTAATATTTAATATAGTTTTTTTATTAATATAGTTATATAATATATAATAGTATAGTTATGTATGGTTATATTTAACAAATATACTGAAAAAAATCCGAAAGAGAGATAAAAATTTTATTTTGTGGGATACTAATAACATATTTACTAAAATCTAAATTCTTTTGTTTGAATAAACTATTGCTTTTATGAAAAACAACGATTTCAGGAAAGTATAAATTTTTTCCTTTGACAAGTGTTTTCCAACATAAAAATATTGTATATTAATGCAAGAATAAATATGTTATTAATACCTATCGAATAAATATTTTTCGGATATTTTTTCTCTCAGTGTACCAAGCCTTGCAGAAGTTATTTATTAATAATTACCAAATTATTTGATTGCATTCACCTACACGTTTAGTTGAAACTATTTCACGAAAGCACTTGGCAACTATTATTCGGGTTTAATGATTATTATCACACTTTTTTCAGCGTGCAAACCGAATGTTCCCCAACTTTTTAATAGTTCTTCGTAATGCGAAATTCTGCTTAAAAATTTCCAAAATATAACTATAAAAAATAAGTTTATGAAAATTAATTGACTTACCTCAGGTTCTATTTACCACCCTCATCTTCAAGATAGTATCCTTGTAGGTATCACGAATGGAACATATTTCTGTAAAGTAAACATTTACTTTACAGAAATTTTATACATTTATACCAGATTTTCGTCTAATTTGTACCTCGGCTATACTTATAACTAAACTTAAAATGAAATCTTAAATATCAATGGAAAGCTTATTGGCGTACAATTAAATAGCGAATGCAGGAAGTTATGACCCGGTTCAAGTTACAATTCCCTTTACAAACCCTACTGATGCTCGCGAGAGTTCCCTCGCGTTAGTGGGAGAGCGCTACTCTCCCTCTAACGAGTTAGATTTATCGAGGTGGCGGCTTAGGAAGCTTATTTTTTAATTTCTGCTCGATATGGCCGAGCGCCGGCGTAGTATTTGCTCAATGTTTTAAAGTTATTTTAAAACAACTTGTCCCACGGAAGGGAGCGCCTCGGGTAGCAGCGCGACGAGCGTCAAGGGTTGACATTGCGTCCCGCGTGATTCCGAATGCGGTGGGAACGGACGGGGAGCGTTCGCCGTGTTATCATTTCTCGTCCGTGAGCTCTTTTAAAGGGTCGCCCCACCAGCGGCCGAACAAGAGGATAGACTTGAAATACGTTCCGGGATCTCTCTCGTCGCGCGCGCCGCGCGAGAGCCACACGGAGCAACATTATAATAATTTTAAAGTTTCATGAAACGTAATCTTTTTGCATAAAGAGAGAATAAAACATCGTGCGCGCGTACATACGCCTCTTCGACGATCGTCGAACACATCGCGTTCGCTATATCTCTCTCCCCCTAATCTCGAAATAAAGCAAGCGGAATAAATTTTGGTGCTGCCGTGCAGCCTCCGCTTTTTTCTCGATCTTCTGCGCGCATGAGTGGAAAGAGGGACAGAGGGAGGAGGAGGAGGAAGAGAAAGAGGAGGAGAAGAAGGAAGAGAAGGTAGAGGAAGGCGGATTAAAACGCGGGGCGAGAAAAGAGGCGTCTAAACGACGGTGGAAGGTCAAGCCCGAGATTACGACAGCCCCGTGCGACGTTTGCTCGTTAATTAGGGAGTTCTAATTATAGTAAATGCGTGAGCCCGGACGCCGGTGGCGCGGAGAGATCGTGCCGCGGCGGAAGCTCCGGGGATCAAAATGCAACCCTCCGCGAACGAGCCAAGATTACCTTCGAGGGCCCTCGGCGCTTCCCTCGCTAAGGCTCGACCCACAACCTGCCTGTGCGCGGCGACCGTTCTCCTCCGTCTTCCTTCTGCCTCTCCTCAATCTATTCGCCGCTCCCCTTCGCCACCATGCCCCGACCTCTTCCTTCCCCCGTGCGCGCGTCTCCGAGAGCCGTACTGTCTCAGATATCACCTAAAATAACAACGTCGTAGGAGCGCGCCCGAGCGGATAGATTTTACTGCTCGGTGTATAACAAATGGATTAGTATTTCGGGTAGACGCCTAATCCCCTCTCGTTGCGGCGCCGGAGATTATTCCGATTATCCGAACCTGATTTTAGTTAATTAACGCTCGCTCCCCCACCCAGAGATCCGATTCGGTCCCCGCGCTGCACCTCCTTCGGAATTACCTCTGATCGCCGCGTCAATCGCAGATGACGTTAATTGGACGCCGTTAATTTATCGCGGTCGAGCCTCAAACGAATGTCTTGTTAATTTTGACAGAAAGAATAAATAACGTGCAAACGTGATAACGCGGGTGACATACGATCACGAATCAGCACGTCGCATCTTTTACGTGTCCATTTCTTTGGTAAAAATTTGTGAAAATTACGTTAAGATTATATTTCACAATATTTTTTTTTTAGAAACTTGGGCTATGATAACATTGCAATATAAATTACTATAAAAATAGTAAATTTAACAACCATCCAAATGTACAATATAAAGAAAAAAATTCAAATAATTACAACAATTTTTTAACAAACATAATCAAGAATACAGAAAATTTTTAGACAAATACACAGTAATTCCGATCATAATTCTTTATGGTCCAAGATCACAAAAATTTTGTTGTAATTTTTACTACAATTAAATTTTTCTATGTAGATAATATTCGCCTTCGGTATTTCCAATAGGAAAATTTATATTTTACAAATTACTAAGGAACAAATTCTCCCCTATTGAATATGGATACGTTGCAGAATTCATTGGAGAAAGAAAGAATGTTGCAACCTTCTTATTACTGACTACGTTCAATAATACAATCGTGTCATCAAAACGATTTTTTACCGTCATCTGTATGATAGAAGTTTGCGAGTTAGTCCTAGTAGGTAAAGAGAATATCACAGCGAGATGTAGTTACAAGTACAGTTTATGCGACAGCGCGATAGCAGTGATTCCTCTTAACAAGGATCGAGATTGATCCCGGCTAATGGAGCCTGCCGTTTGCCGCGCAAGTGCAAGAACAACGGGAACGCAACGCGCCCGCGGCCGGGAGATCGTATCGTTACGGGAACGGTCGATTATTTGCGCAGAGTTTCGAGATTGTCTGTCGGTAGTAGGGTCGCTCGGTCGCGCCCACTTACATCCGCGAGTAGGGCAAATATCGGTCTAGAATCCGCGCGAGTGAGAAACGTGACGGAACGACGGCGCACGGGGGTGTACGTGCGCACCGATGCCGACCCCCCGTCGGCGTCGCCGACACGTGGGAACGCGGACACGCGCCCTCGTCGTCCCTCCGCGTGCGTGCCCCGGCGCGTCGCAATCGTTGCCGGGGGTTGCTCCTGCCCCATCTCGGCTCCCCCGTACGACTTGCGGCGCATCTCGAGCATGCAAATTACATTGGCCAACAATTTTGAACTTTTTTGTTTGCGCCGAGCACTTTTGGTATATCCCTCGCGCTATGTAACTCGAAAAGCCCCTGAGCAAGGAAATAACAATAAAAGAATTTGGTCCGTAGCAGTCTTTGAGAAAGGCATAGCTCGATTTTCACCCTTCAACTAGTATTGCAAGGTCAATGTGTGCAAGTTTTGCAGTAAATATGAAAGACTCAAATCTTATCATCTTTCACACTTCACACCCGAAGTATAATTCATATGCTTTACGAGTCAATACTCACACAGCAGAGGTGTCCAAAATATATCATAGAGACATCCTAAAGATATATTTGGGATATGTGATATCTTCAAGATATCCCTATGATGTATTTGGGACATTCCTGCTGTGTGGGTAGCGTTAACTTGTTTCACCGAAGTCAATTCGCCACAAATATAGCAAAAATAATCGCTTCTATTAACACACTTGCGCGACATATTGCAATTCTATTTATAAAACTATTAACAATGTTTAAAACATAATGCTTAGAAAAGAATAAGATTCCAATAAGATATCATCTCTTTTTAAGTTCTCAACTAAAGCGAATTCATTGCAAAGAACCTGTGTATCGCTCAATAAACCACCTTGACAGAACAACAATAAACCAATTTCCGTAATATAAAACTTTATAAGACTCTGATAGAGTGGTCTCGCCATCAAAATATTGATTTCAACATAGTAATGTTAGCATATGACTGCAAACATTTGCTGAACATAAAAATAAAATTAATTTAAAGGAGAATATATAAAAAGCAATGTCGTGCATCTCTAGAACTGTTATCAATGGGACATTTTGTTATTTAAATTAAACAGGTTAGCGAAATTTGATAACTTTTACATCTGACGCAAAATGGCTGTCGACCAGTGTTATTAGCGGACGAAAGTATCTGTGGATCGATCGATTGTGAAAAGCAATAATTTTTTCGATACTTCATTAACCCCCGCGGGAATTGAAGTCGGTCTTTGGGACTGTACGACTCTGCGCATATGTGGTGCACCAAAAACGTATAAATATTAAATGAACATTTCCATTGTTTACAAATGAATAATAAAACCTCCAGAAATATCGGTTTGCCTCTCTGATACGTTTTATCCTGCTTTAATTTGATATTTCATTCATATACTTCAAGCGTTTATAATAACCTGGATTTAAATATTTCGCGCTTAAATATTCTCGTTTAAGCTTATACGCACGTACTGTGTGTATATGACCTTTTCAATAGAATAAATATCCATGCGCGCAAATAAAATCGCGGAGTGTTTCGTTTCCAGCCCGCGGTGAGAAATACGTTTCGACGGAGATTGCCGTTATTCCCTGCGTGTTTTCACCCCTACGGCTCGCCCGGGGGAGCGCGCGTCGCGTCGCGTCGCGTCGGCTCACAGACGCGGAAAATCTGACGGATGCGAATACGCGGCGCGTATAACGTACATATCTATACGTCGCACACGTATGGCATTCCAGGGCGGGCACGTTACAATTACCGCGGCCACGAGGGTGACTGACGTACGTCAAGGTCGTCAGAATAAGTCCGCTTCTTATCGGACTATTACGGACGATGATACGCGGCGTACGAGGGTAGACGATTAATTAAGGATCGGGGATATCGAACCGATAAAAGGGAAAAAGAGAGAGAGAGGGAGAAACAATGAAATTTAAGAGAATCAAATGTAACAAGATTTGGAAAGAAATTGTAGCGCGACTAGTGGAGACTCAGTCTTCACTAATCCTCAGAAGTTTAAATGAAAAGTTACGTGTAATTAAAATATCTCAACGTAGAAAAATAATAATTTGCCGACGCTTTGCTGAGCGGATTAAACTTTACACACATTTGCGTACTGATAAAAATATAAAAATCTCTTGAAATATTTAATGCCATAACAAAAGATTAGAGCAGAATAAAATTTTGGAGTTGTCAAATTTTACTTTTAAATCGATAATATAAAAATCCGTCTTTTTTAAGTTCTTTTCACTTGTTTTCCTTCATCTCAGTTGTTCGTTCAATCTCTTCTCACGCCTCGATAATGTTAATCTTTTAGATAGGAACAATTCTTTAAATTTTTGCATCCAACTTTGGATTCCGGTGTCCAAGAACTACAAATATTGTTTGATATATTGATTGTAGTACGTGAGAGAAATTAAATTGTTTAATCAACGCATATACACTCATGGCCGCCTTAACTGTTTTCAGAATGGCAGAAATAGATGCTTCTTTATCGGGCGACATAATCTTATCGTTGATCG